GAAGGAAGGAAGGAAGGAAGGAAGGAAGGAAGGAAGGAAGGAAGGAAAGAAGGAAGGAAGGAAGGAAGGAAGGGAGAGAGGGAGGGAGGGAGTGAGGGAGGAAAAGAGGAAAGGAGAAAAGGAGGAAAGAGGGAAGGGAGGAAAGGAGGAAGGAAGGGAGGAAAGCAGATCAACATGCTGAAAGAGCTTGGAGGGTATGGAAGCAAGGGTACAAGTGAAGGGGCTAGTCTTGGCAAGGAGAAAGGTCACTTCTTTATCAGTCTCCTTTGCTAGATCTTCATCCAGGTCACATACACTAAAGTGGGTTGTCTAACAAGGCTCTGTCCTGGGCCATCTTCTCTCCTCCCTCTATATTATTTCACTTGAGTCCATCAAACTCCATGGATTCAATTATCATTTCTAATTGATTCTTCTCAGTTCTATTCATCAAGTTCTATTCTACCTCCTGACCTCCAGTGTAACAATGCTAATTGTTTCTTAGACATCTCAGAATGGATGCCCTGTAGACATCTTAAACTCAGCATGTCCAAAACCAAACTCATTAACTCTAGCCCCAAGTCCTTCCCTCTTTTTTACTTCTCTCTTCTTACTTACACAAGCTCTCAACCTGGCTGTCATGCTGAAATCCTAATTGTCTCTCACCCCTCCACCCTGTATCTAGTCTTTGTCAAGTCCTGTTGGTTCTATCTTTATAACATCTCTCTTACATGTCACCTTTCCGTTGATACTGCTAACATCCCAGTGTAGATCCTCATCACATAATAGCTAGACTACTGCCTTTTGGCTCACCTCCCTTCCTTAAGTCACTCATTTTTGCAGCACATCTTCCCCTCAACTGTGAAAATGATCTTTCTAAAGTACAGGCCTGACCACGAGACCTCCTTCCTTTCACAATAAACTTTGGTAGCTCCTTATCCCCTCCAGGATGGAACATAAAGTCCTCTATTTGGTATTCAAAGGCCTTTATCTATACCTAGCCCCTCCTAATTTTCCTGTTTTCTTATATCTTACTTACATCATGTAATACACAATCCAGGAACATTAGTTTCCTTTCTGTTCCTTGCACATGACTTTGGGAATTTTTATTGGCTAATCCCCAAGCATGAATTCTATCTTTCATCATTTCCATCTCCTGGCTTCACTATCTTCTTTCAATTCATGATTTTCCAGAAATGTATTTCTAGAAATCATAAATGAAAACTACATGAGACAAAATAGTTTATTGTCCCAGTTTTTTTGGAAAAGAAAACATGATAGAATAAATAAGTAGGGAAGAGAATAAATATAGCCTCAAACACCAAGATCTCTTGCAAAGTACAAGCAATCAAAATTTGTATGCCTTTGGACAGAAGTTCTAACTTCCTCCCTCTACAAGAAGCCTTTCCAATCACCCTTAGTGCAAGTGTATTAAGTGAATGGTCTCTCTTTTTTTAAGAAAATATGATATGAAGTCTGAGGAAGTAGGGATAAGGATGTTGTGAGAATTTTGAAGAATAAACAGAAAGCTTTGAACAGTCTCTGGGGAAAGTGAGATTGAGAATCAATTAGGGAGAAATAAAAGGATGGCAGTGATGAGCTCTAAATTAAGATTGGGTAACTTAAATATGACATATTTGCTAAGTGAAACCTGGAGGAAAAAGAAAAAGTTCCCTATAAATACATGCTCTTGTCAAAAGAATTGACAGTATATTGCATTCCTAAAGTTTAGCTAAATATTTCTAGGGACAGTTAGAGCAAGGCCGGTTCTGGAATGGAGGAAAGTAAAGGACATATCCACTCCATAACCCCCATCCTACCTTGATCCAGAGACTCAGAGTGTCCTGTGCAATCAGATGTTCAGGTGCTGCCTCTTCTTCAACTGTAACACTGTCTCAGCTTCTAGTGTGTGGTAGAAAGCCATATTGCCAGCTTCCTCCTCCAAAATACTTAGACTATAGAGATTATTCTGGAGAATTGGATGGACTAGGTTACCTGGGAACCCAAAATATCTTTAGATGTATTCTTATCCAACATAGTTCTTTACTTCCCTTATTTTTATCTATAAAATGAAGAGGTTGGACTAATTCCCAAGGTCACACTAAGCACTGTATCCCATTATCCCTCACTCCAGTGTAAGAATGGGTGCTAGAGTATATAAACATACTCTCCTTGACTTTTTCTAGGCCAGGCTGTACTTTTACAGGAGTAGAGTTGACTGAGCAACCTGGATTTCTAAGATCATAGTGTAGTATAGTCCCTGGAGCTCCTCTCCCAATCCCTATTTGTAATAACAGGTTAAGTCCCCAGAAGGAGGTGGTTAATTGATCCTTCATAGTTTTAGGGGACCCTGGGGATGCCTTAATAATGATATATCTCACAAGTGCCATCAGTGTGCTTCCCTCCTTTGATTATCAATTGATGTTAATTAACCCAACAGATTTATTTTGTTTTCAGAAACAGGTATTCAATAAGATGGAAAAGTAAGAAGAATTGGTACATAATAATTCTTTGACACACTTTCCCTCTAGTACATAAAGAATCAGAGAAAATTGGAATCAAGCTTGGAGCACATGTGTCAAAAGTGGCAGTTCATAGTTCCTGAATATACATTTGGTAATTTTAAAGATGTTTACCATAGCTGTGGTACAGCTTTAAGCTAGAATCTTTGTAGAATACTGCAGCTAATAGAAATGAGTACTTCACCTTCCATTTCCATTCATACAATTATCAGAGTACTGACTGAGAAGAACCTTAAACTGAACTTACCAAATAACTTTGTAACATCAATATCAAACAATCAATACTGCAGGCTGCTGGAATAAAGATATTCATATACCAAAGAAATTCAGTTTCTATCTCTCAAGACTAATTTTTAATACTCAAGGGAAAAATTAAAAATGATATTATGAAAAGTAAAAGTTATTGATTTGTACTTTCAAAATAACATATTCTGCAAACTGAACATATCAGTCAAAAAGGCTTTTATTCAACAGAGAAGAGTTTGCATTATTCCTTAAAACTCACACACACACACACACACACACACACACACAACCCTCTGTGGTAGATATTTACTAGCAAACTTATCAAATGAAAAATTTACAAAGTTAAATAGGTATAGTTAGCAACAAACATACTAACATATGGATTCAATGTTTTCATTCTTACAAAGCTGGACATACTCCTATCTGACTTTGGTTTGGAAAGGGTGGTTGTGGGTTTTTTGAGTGTCTTACCTGCAGAAGTGATTTCAGAAGAGTAAGGAAAGAGCATCGTGGGTGGGACTCAAAGAAAGGAATTGGAGTCAGGATCCACCAAAGCAGGGGGAATTACTCTGTGGACATCTTGATGTATTCCTGATGAAAAGAATATAATAGAGGCCTTAGAAAAGATTCCAATTGGGGGCTAGTTTTGGAGACTTTATCTGACTAGGAGTCATGTTTTTCTTTTTTTTTATTAATAAATTTATTTATTTTTAGTTTTCAACATTTACGTCCCTAAGATTTTGAGTTCCAAATTTTCGCCCCGCCTCTCACCTCCCCCCACCCCAAGATGGCATGCATTCTAAATAACCCTTCCCCTAGTCTGCCTTCCCTTCTATCTCCCCTCCCTTCTCTTATCCCCCCTTCCCCTTCTATTTTCCTGTAGGGCAGGATAGATTTCTGTACCCCATTTTCTGTATTTCTTATTTCCCAGTTACATGTGAAAACATTTTTTAACATGCGTTTTTAAAACTTTGGGTTCCAAATTTTCTCCCTTCCTCCCTCCCCACCTACCCTCATTGAAAAGGCAAGCAACTCAATACAGGTTATACATGTGCAGTTATGCAAAACACTTCCATAGTAGACATGCCATGAAAAACTAACTCTATTTCCCTTAATCCTATCCTGCCACCCCATTTATTCTATTATTTCTTTTGACCCTGTCCCTCCTCAGAAGTGTTTGCTTCTGATTACCTCCTTTCCCAATCTGCCTTCCTCTCTATCATCCCCCTACTCTCTTGTCCCCTTCTCCCCCCGCCCCATTTTCCTGTAGGGCAAGACAGATTTCCATACCCAATTGAGTGTGTATGTTATTCCCTCCTTAAGTCAAATCCTATGAGAATAAGATTCACTCATTCCCTCTCACTTTCCCCTGTTTCCCCTCCACTGTAAGAGCCTTTTCTTTTCTGTTTTTTTTTTGTGGGATAATTTACCCCATTCTACCTCTCCTTTTCTGCTTCTCCTAGTATAACCCTCTCTCTCTCCTTAATTTTATTCTAGGAGTCATGTTTTTCAAGACTGATAACCACTTATGTGAAGAAGAATCTGAATTCCTCAGAACATTCAGACAAGCTGATAGGTAGATGGGCTGACATACAGCACAGAATGAGGAGCAATGAAAAGAAACCACAAAGCAGTAAATTTGGGTTTAATATCAAGAAAAAAAGTCTTAAAATATATCTCTAAAAGTAGAATGAACTGCCTTGACAGACCATGAGCTCCACATCAATGGAAGCCTTCAAACAAAAACTAGAGGTCCATTTGTCAGGTATAAGGTAGAGATAAATGTTTTGTTTGCTTGTTTTTAAGATAAAAGTTTGGTTAGTATGGCCACAGGAGTCCTGCTCACCTCTAAAATTCTATGATTCTCTGAGTCTGAAATTGACATTTCTTGTAATCATCATGTCAACAAGCATTTATTAAGTGCTTATTTAGTGTCAGACACTCTGTTGAGCACTGGAGATACAAAGAAAGAGGAAAAATGATCAATCCCTTTCCTCAAGGAGCTCACAGTATAATGGGAAAAGGCAACATGCAACCGTTTATAGCCAACAAATGCACAGAATGAATTAGAGCTTATCTCAAATGGATGGCACTTATTGTTGTTCAGTTGTTCTCAACTCTACTTCACTCCCTGGACCATAATGTCCATAGGGTTGTTTTTTTTTTTTGACAAAGATACTGGAATGGTTTACCATTTCGTTCTCCAGTGGACTAAGGTAAACAGATGTTAAATAACTTGCCCAGTGTCTGATATAGGATTTGAACTCAGGTCTTCCTGATTCCAGGCACAGTTCTCTATCCATTGAGCCATCTGGTTGGCTCTAGCCATCCATGGCTCATGGATGGCACTAGCATATAGTAAAGAACTTTCACAAGAATTGAAGAGGTCAGAAGATTTTCTGAAACCTATCTAGAAATTTTAGTGGACTATGAGCTCAAAATGAATCAGTAGTGAGATAGCAGCCCAAAAAGATAATGTGAACTTCAACTACATTGAAAGATATAGCTTCCAAGAACAAGGAAATGGTAGTCCTTTTGTACTCTGCCATGGTTGGACTGCTTCTATAACATTGTGCTTACTTCTGGGAATCACAGCTTAAGAAAGAGCAGGAGAAAAATTTATATAATAACATCATTGTAAAAATGAAATTTTTTTAAAAAAGTAAGCATTCTGATCAATTCATTTACCATTTGTGATTCCTGAGTACTAATGATGAAGAATATTACTCACTTCCCCACCAAACTCAGTATGCAAGAGGAGACATACATTTTTGGACAGGTAGGCAACATGTACCAGGTAGATCAAAACACCATCACCATCACTACCACCACCTGAACCACTAGGCCACCAGAAGAAGCAGCCCAGGACCCAGAGCTCAAGAGGCCTAGAAATCTCAATGTCCCTCAGGCCACTAGTTTTGCTTCCATCCTGAGCCATCATGGAGGGAAGCAACCTCTCTGTGAAAGAGCCTGTCATACATGACACTATGATATCAAAAACTTAACAACTCCCAGTGATGGGTAGGTAAGTCCAAAAGGCTTTGAAAAATCAATGCTTCCCAGGTCAACAGTGCCACTACCAGCCTGGTCCCTACTGTCATCATCAAGGGGTGCAACCCTCGTCAACTGCCTTTACAATGCTGTAGCCAGCACTTTCTCATCAATCACAACTACTGAAAACCCAGAATTTTTTTTTTTGCCACAAAAGTCCTTAGTACTGTCATATGGTTCAACATTAGAAATACATGTGGTTTTATTAGTATAAGTGAACTTAAATAAGATGCATTGCCTCCTATATGTGCAATCTCCCTCTATTAGAAGATAACAACCTTGAGAACAGGGGTTTTCTTGCTTTTCTATTTTTATCCTTAAGATTTAGCAAAGTGCTTTGCACACAATAAGTAATAAACAAATATTATTTTTTCATTCACTAAATCATTATTGCAGCAACATGAAAAGTACAATAATATTAAAAGGCATATATTACTAATGATCATAGATCTAGAAATGAAAAAGACCTTTTTCTTCAGAATATTTTATTCTTCAGTCAGTCCCTCATCAGACTGTTTAGTCATGGAGCTCACAGTCTAATGGGAGAGACAATATGCCAAAGATTATGTACAAACAAGATATAGATCGGAGAGATTGACAGTAGCCTCAGGGGAAAGGCATTAAGATTAAAGAGGACTGGAAAACACTTCTTGCAAAAGATGGTATTTTAAGTGAGACTTTAAGGAAGACATGGAAGCCAGGAAGCAGAAATAAGGAGTGATAACATTCCAGGCATGGGTGACAGCCATTAAAAATGTTCATAGTTAGAAGATGGAGCATCCAATGTAAGGAAAATCAAAGAGGCCAACATCACTGAATCACAGAACATATGAAGGGGAGTAAGGCATAAGAAGTCTGGAAAGGTAAAGAGGGGCCAGGTTACAAAGGGCTTTAAAAGCCAAATAGAGGATTTTATATTTGATCTTAGTGAGAAAACTGAAACCCAGGGAAAATAAACAATTTGTCATATAGTGAGTGTCAGTGGAAAGATGTAAATCCAGGTCCTTTGACTCTAGAAATAGTGTTCTTTGTATTCTAAAATGTCAAATATCCCTGATAAGGATACACTTAGTATTTCATACTTCCACACCTCATCAAAACATGATGGAGATCCTAAGTTCTCTAATATTATTCCAGTGGAGTAAAACCCAAGGATTAAAATATGAGAACTGCAAATTGACAAGGATGGAAATCAACAGTGTTTTATAATAAACACTTCATCATTAAAGTCAGAAAAGCCTTATCACTTGGACTTTTACATCCCTAAATGTACTGAATGTGATTATAGAGATAGCAGAAATGGCACTGAAGAGAACAAAGATTAGAAGAGCAGATAGCAGTAGGCCTAGGGTACACAAAGGTGGTCTGTTCTGGAGGTAACACAGTTGAGAGAACACTCCGATATTAATTCTCCAAGTAGTTGAAGGAGAGAAAATGCTGAAATCATGGGGGAGGGAAATCTCAGATTTTATTCATTTGACCCCTAAAAGACTACTTAGAAGACAACTATCACATATGTGTATACATATAAATATGTGTGTATATGTGTGTATACACATATATATGTAAATTCCTAGTTTCTCTCCTATATATTTTATGAGAATAATCTAGACATCTTTAAAGAGGGTATTAGACAGGAACAGGCAGGCTTTCATGAGATATGGTCCACAGTAGACTACATTTTCACCATCACACAATTCATTGAAACGTAGAAAATGAAAGATTCCCACTGAGCATATTACTTATTGAATATGCAAAAAAAGGTTTATAAGACCAAAACATCTTAAAAAGGTTGTCTTCCAAGGTATCTGTTATGTATGTGTCAAAATTATGTAAAATTCCTTGAAAGCTCTAATAATAGATAACCTTGTTTGATAATCCAGTGATCATAAATATCAAGCAAAGGATAGATCAGAAAGATGCACGCTTTCCAGCAATGTTTCAAAATATAATGCAGGAAATACATAGCACAGTTCAAACAGTGTTTCCTTACAGATGGTAAGGTCTTCTAGATGCTTTTGTTTGTTACTGTCATTGGGCTGATTTCATTAAGTGCTGGAACATTGCAGAAATTCCAAATGAGACCCATAATCACTCAAAAGAGAATCTCCTAATCATTTGCATGAGAAAAAATAAGTAAAAGATTTCCTGTTTTCCAGACTATTCAACTAAATGTGAAACTTTAGAACTTGTACATGTATATCTATAAATATATCGATGGATCTCAAAGTCATCTATATCTATGCAAGCATACATAGAATGTATGTCCTCTGCAATTTCCCAGAGGGAACCCAGCTTGCCTTTCAGTTCAATTCTGTGTCCAAATCTTAATATATTTGTATTTATAGACTTTGTGTAAATTTTATCTACATATATATACTTCAATTCTGTTATCCTATGGTAAATGTCCAAGGGAAAAAATACCAAATAAAAAAGGCTCCATATACACCAAAATATTATTTTTGTAGTAACAAAGAAGTGGAATCAATAGGGATTCCCATTGATTGGGAAATGGCTAAACAAATATTGCTTCATGATAT